TTATTTATTTTATTGATGCCTGGTCAATTTTGAGTTTAAAATTTTTAGAAAAAATGTTAGACTGGCAGGTTGGAGAATTTGAAGAAGATTGTTTGTAAAATTTGAAATTGAGAAACCTTAGAATCTTTGAAATGAAGCCATTTTCTGTTCTTTGAGATCGTCTCTTTTAATTTGAGTGTGTTTGTGAACATTGTGGAACAATGATTTCGTTTTTGAGGCTTAAAACTTGAAAGTGATTTAAAAACACAGTTTAGGCTTTTTGATTGGCTAATGAAAAAGTGTCATCAAACAGGAATGGTCGAATGGATTGGTTAAAAACGATAAGGGAAGTTAGATCTGTGGAAATTTGCGCATTTTGCTTTGCTTAGCACAAAAATGACACTGCTATGGCTTTCAGAGAAAGAATTTACAAAGAATAACCCTGGACTTCACTGTTGTCATTCAAAATTCATTCAAAATATCCAACTTGATGAGTCACAAGGCTGAAAAAACCATTTCCAGGTTAAAAAGTTGAAGGTCATCGATGAAATCTATTTCATCGAAAAGATGAGCGAAAAATAGAAGGAAAAATTGGATGATAACGCTTTTTGGCAAGATGCCAATTCTTGAGTTCTTTTTCGCTTTTGAGAGTGGAATTTTGTCGCGTTGCGGACAACCGACTGGCCTTTGAGAATTGGAAATGGGAAAGAGTTTGTTTGTGGAGAGAGATTCGATGGAGTGAGATGGGAAAAGATGAAGAGAATCAGGAAAATCGAGACTGTGAGAATGCTTGAAAAACTCGGTAAGCAGAAAAAAAAGAATGAAGTGATAACTTCAAATCTCGAACCAAATTAGTGTGATTAATGGAAATCGTAAACTTAATGGAAATCGTAATTTTAATGGAAATCGTGCCTTTTTTTTCTTCAAATATATAGTAAGTGGAGAACCAGAGAAAGAACTTACAAAGAATAACCCTTGACTTCACTCTTGTCATTCAAAACTCATTCAAAATACCCAACTAGATGAGTCACAAGGCTAAAAAAGCCATTTCTTGATAGTTTACTAGTTTACTATAGTTTTCGTAGAAAGTGTCTAACTTTCGAAAACTTTCTTAATCTTGTTTCATGTTGTTATCCAATCTATAAACTTTTAGTCAAACTTTGGCAAATTCATAGAGAATACAAGGTATTTAAGGTAATAAATTATGAATAACCATTTACTTCTCAGTTTCCATTAGTATTATAGTTTCTTTCAGTGATTCTTGTCACAAGCTTTTATGCAATCCATCGACTTTTGATCTAATTTTGTGTAAATTCACAAGACAAGGTATTTAAGGTGAAGATCGACTGATGAAGGTGAAGGTGAAGATCGACTGATTAAGATTACGGTAGTTTTCGAAAGTTGGGTACTTTTAAGAACACGAAATCCCAAATATACCTGTTATTGACTTTCCAATATAGAAATCTGAAAAGCCTGACGGTAAAACTAGTTGGGACGATAAACTTACCGGCATACCGCAAATGATCGTGCAATGGACATCACCGGTACGATCGGACTGATAAGTTTCAAATTTCTATATTTGAAAGTCAATAGCAGGTATATTTGGGATTCCGTGATCTTAAAAGTACCCAACTTTCGAAAACTACCGTAATCTTAACTTCAGCTTCATCAGTCGATCTTCACCTTAAATACCTTGTCTTGTGAATTTACACAAAATTAGATCAAAAGTCGATGGATTGGATAAAATTTTGTGACAAGATTACGATGGCTTTCGAAAGGTTGACACGTTTTAGAAAGCTCTTTTTCATCTGAAAATTCCAACAAGGATCAAACGTACGTGTACAATTCTATAATTCTATTCATTCGAGTCAATGGTATCAGAATTCGATCAACACGACTTCTACGACCGAGGCTTGGTCGTATAAGTCGTAGAACGTGGCCAACGTTTTAACTTGTTTCCTTCCCGAAACTGGAAAAGTCTGATTCACACATGTTCTATAGACAAGCCCGTTTGTGTGGAACACCAATAAGTATCACCAAATTCACAAAAGATATCTATCCTAGAGTGTGCTCCTCTCAAGTAATAGCTTTCTATAACGCGCCCTTCAAAGGTGAAAATAAAGATATTCAGTTGATGATATTGAATATCTTAAAATTTCGCTTTGAAGGGCACGTTATAGAAAGCTATTACTTGAGAGAAACACACTCTAGTCTATACTTTGTTGAAAACGAATTCGACTGTTGGCACGGGATTTTCGGAGAAGAATCGCGAGATTGTTGTCTATTATTCTCAGCCACAAACTTGGTAATTTTAAGTTAATATAAGTTGCAATTCTAGGCCAATTTCTTGTTGCTGCGATTGTTGCTAATGTAAGCAATAGGGTCAGCTTTTCCCTTTTATTGTTAAATTTTTAACGTTTTAACACTTGAAAAATTTTATTGCTTTCGTTCTCTTCTTATTTACTGGTACTAATTTATTTTTTTAGATGCCAGGAGCGTATTTGTCAACTCTGGATAAAGAAATGACGCAAGGAAGCAAGGAAGGCCACGACAAGACGTTGCCTCTTAGAAAGTACACCCACAATAGTTCCTCTTGTTATGGCAAAAATGAGTGCGCCTGGAAATGCGCGAAAAGGGACGACCGAGAATTACAGCAAAGAATGAAGACCGATTCCGAATTTGACGTTGAACGACGGAGTCATTTTTTTTCAAGCAAACTTCAAACAAGCATATTTCCCGCTGGGCTTGGCGTCGACGCTTGCTTCAAGTAGCATTGCATACTAGAAGACCTGCTCTCAAGCCTATGATGACAGCCAAACACAGAAGACAACGGCTTCAATTTCCTTGAACCTATTCAAGTTGAACAATCGATGATTGGGTCTGAGTGTTTTTTGTTGATGAAACAAAAGTTGATATTTTTCCTTCGAATCGAAATCACCTAATCCGACGTCCAATTGGAAAGCGATATCAACTCAAGTACTTGCAGCCCAACGTGCTTTCTTTCGTGTGATGTGAAAAAGTTCAACGGGTCCGCTTGTCCTCGTAAAATCAACAATATATTGAGATATTGGACAGATATCTAATTCCATTTGTGATGAAGAACAAAAAGCAAATGGAAAAAGATACGGTGGAACGACTTTCCGAGGCGACAGAAAATCGTTTGCGTTCAGAAAAATTTGGATCTTTGAAAATTAAACACTTTGATAAATTTTGAGATAAGAATCAATTAATTGCAAATGAATAACCATTTAAAGTAGGGATTGTGCAAGTTGTGCAGTTGCGCCAAGTGAATCAAGTTGAACGAGTTGAATTGTCGAAGTTGAATAAACGAATTGAATCGAGAGAATTGTCGAAATTGTCAGCACTGAATTTATTTTAACAAAAGAATTTGTGAAAAATGTTTTATTTTAGAACTTTTTCTGAAATTTTGGGAAACTATGTAGTCGATGAAGCGTTTTATTCTAAAAAATATGCAATCACTCAAAAATATATTAGCTCATGAATGCTAGAAATCAGGATTTTCAACTCTTACATTAAAATGCCTGAAAAAGTTCTAAAATAAAACCTTTTCCACAAATTCAAAAAAGCCATCTTGTAGATTAAGGATAGGGCTTTTGAATCAAGCAAACCGTTTTTTGATTGGATAAGCCGTTTTTTCAGAAAACACATTGCCCAAAAACGATCGTTTATAACTTGCCAACCTAATATAATTAAACTTTGGTCACATCACTGCTCACCACTAGACAGCTATATGTATTCTGATAAAGAATCTGTTTAATAATATTGAGAAATAAGTAAAAACAGTTTTGCTAAAACGAGCCAGACTTTTGGATTGACTTGTTTTTTGAATTTGCCATAGGGCTTTCCGGATTGGGCTTTTCTCGTGTCAAGCCAAACGACGAGACGGACTAGACTTGTAGATATAAACAGAAGGTTTTACAAGATTTCTCCCGATTGAGATTGCTCGCGTAAAACTTTTGACCTCTTTACAACTCACATCATGTCCACGTGAAGAGAAGTGGTGGAAATCGTGAAATTCACCAGTAATTCACCGATGATGTCCATTGCACGATCATTTGCGGTATGCCGGAAAGTTTATTGTCCCAGCTAGTTTTACCATCAACTTTTTACCATTGGGCCGATAAGTTCCAGATTTCTATATTGGAAAATCTTGTTGGGGATTTGAGTGTTGAGCAAAAGCTCTTCACTCGACACTCGAGGACGTTTTCTCAAGGCTGTTCCAAAGCTATTAGGTTGTCCGGAATTAAAATACCCTTTTAATGAAAAGCAAATTTATCTCCACAAAAAGAAAACAGTGCTCTTTAATCCAAAAGATATTTTCCGTTGTTGGCAATAGTCTTTCTCCATTTTTCTTTCAAATCTCGGATCCCTTTCCTGAAGAAGTCCCGAAGCTGCGAGTCCTCGAGTGTCGAGTGAAGAGCTTTTGCTCAACACTCAAATCCCCAACAAGATTTTCCAATATAGAAATCTGGAACTTATCGGCCCAATGGTAAAAGTTGATGGTAAAACTAGCTGGGACAATAAACTTTCCGGCATACCGCAAATGATCGTGCAATGGACATCATCGGTGAATTACTGGTGAATTTCACGATTTCCACCACTTCTCTTCACGTGGACATGATGTGAGTTGTAAAGAGGTCAAAAGTTTTACGCGAGCAATCTCAATCGGGAGAAATCTTGTAAAACCTTCTGTTTATATCTACAAGTCTAGTCCGTCTCGTCGTTTGGCTTGACACGAGAAAAGCCCAATCCGGAAAGCCCTATGGCAAATTCAAAAAACAAGCCAATCCAAAAGTCTGGCTCGTTTTAGCAAAACTGTTTTTACTTATTTCTCAATATTATTAAACAGATTCTTTATCAGAATACATATAGCTGTCTAGTGGTGAGCAATGTTTATTTTGTTGTGTTTAGGCAATGTTGTCGAAAGTTTAATTGAGATTGGTGAGTGGTGAGTGGCAATTCAATAAGGATTCAAAACAATGATTTATTAACAAACGCTAAATATACGTTAACATTTTTCTCAGCCGATTCTTGATGAGATGAGCATCATTTGTGACAAGACACTAAAAATTAAAAAACATTATTCTTTCTAGTTGATATATTTTTATAACATTACAGCTATTATTTACAGGAAATTAGATAACTGAACATACGGAGATTTTATTTTATACTATAGACATAATATAGCGTTGCAAAAATACTAATATGATGATAAGAAAATCAATTCAATACATTAAACGTTAAAAAAACTCACCTCAAGGAACGAGAACATAACCTCGGGTGCGAAGAGCGTCCATAAATTGGAGGTAAAGACCAGAATCTTCAAAAGCAATGTACAGGTCGACGTCATAAGCATCCTGATGCGGTGCTTGCTGCAGAGGTTGTTCCTTAAAACAAGACACATGAGTTCAAATGTAAAAAAGGACAACTTGAAGAATGACGCCGTAGATGAGAAGCCTATGATTTTTGCCAGGTGGAAGCTGGCCGCGTGAGCGCTGATGTGCTGTGAATTCCCAGGCTCGATTGAGAGGTGGGTGAGCGAATAGTG